CAATCAGTACGGATCATTTTGGTGTATGTTTACTCTATGACAATCAAACATGGCTTGCTGGAAAATCCCAAGACCTATAGTTCAATGATAGCGGCATAGCGTTTTGTTGATGATTTTCCGCTTAAAATCCCATTCATAGATGATTTTCCCCGTAAACTCCATTTATGGATGATTTTTCTATTGGAACCTCATCTATAGATAATCATCCCATCTAGTTCAGGGATTTCGCAGCAAGCCATGTGAATCATGACACCCGTTTACATTTGTTTGAGGTGCTGAGACCGCGCTCCACAGGTGGTTGCATCCAGCTTTATGGATGGTTTGGTTCATTCAAGCTCAAATGGACAATGGGAAAACGATGGAAAATGTGGGAATTCTTGGGATAGTTACGGGATCATGATGGGGATAATGTTTGGATAAACTATGAGCAAACCCTTGATCAAGAACCATAGGAGAACATGGATATGGATTGATATAGGATACTAGTGGGATACCAATAATGGACAATTATGGGGTAACTATAATACACCATTTCCCAAGTTTGAGGTTTATGAAATTGTGTATACCCCTAACAATGGGACGATGTACTGTAAAATGACCCCCCGTTATGATTGGTCAATGGCATGATTTATTATTGGGGTTACCACATTACATATAGTAGTACATGATTCACTAATCATTCTCATTCACAAACTCAAAATAATACGTTTCTGGATGTTTCTGGTGATTATAGATGTCTTACCCTCTGGTAATTTAACATAGCCATTGAAAATGTCCATGTATAGTGGATTTAACCATTAAAAGTGGTGGATCTTTCCATAGTTGTTTGTATGTTTACCAGAGGGTAATCATTCCCCTTATCGCAAATCGATGTGGTGAGCTTCCGCTTCCTCTGCCACCTCCAGGCCACCCGGGCTGTTTAGTGCACAGATCAAATCTGTACATGTCCTGCACATCTGGGGGCATGGGTTCCAAAATAGCCCATGTTTTATGAAAAAAAAATGTTTTTTCGTGGTTGGCCATAGTTTCTTGAAACTCATTGGGTTTCTGTTGGCCTTTGATGGTTGCTTGATTGTTGCTCAAAACACTGGTTTCTGCAAAGATGGGGGCCACCATCCTCAATCTGTGGCAGTGAACTATACAGATAGAAGAAATAAAATGCTACTGAAATGATGGGAAATCACCTTATTTTTCAAGGAGTTATATAATGGTATAATTATAATACTACAAGTATCTACAAGTTATGTATAGGCAAGTTCAAGTAGCGCCCTACTTTTGATGTCCCAAAATTGAAGCAAACATGGTGCCTTGAGATCTTCATCCATTTTCTTGGGAAGGTAAACGACTCAGTCACGCACGCAGAACCAACTCAGCGGCGCACACACATCAAGCTCACCTACGCACACCGATTAGCCTCAGACATGCACACCAAAGCAGGCTCAGCCGCGCACACGCGACTATCACACCTTTAGGGTTTACTGTGTTCAACGTGGACAGCAAACAGGGACGACACCTTTGGGGTTTACTGTGTTCAAGGAAGTAAGCAAACAGGTACGACAGCTTTGGGGTTTATTTCGCGCAAGCAAGTAAGCAAACAGGAACGGCACCTTTAGGGCTTATTTTGTTCAACCCAGCAAACAGGCACGACACCTTTAGGGCTTATTATGTGTTCAACCCAGTAAGCAAACAGGGACGAAGCCTTTAGGGTTCACTGCGCTCGAGGAAGTAAGCAATCAGGTACGGCACATTTAGAGTTTCTTGTGCTTAACCAAGCAAGTCAACAGGCCTATGAGGGTTTGGGATGTTTGATCTAGTTTGCAAGCAGGTGTGACCCCGTTAGGCTTTCCTTGCTTGACCATTTACCTACACAGGCTTACATTCAAGAGGCGAGGTCGTTTTCTTGCATACAGGCATACAGGTGCCATGTTCGAAACATGTACAGTCTGCTCATCTATTGTCAGTGAGAAAACCTTCACACTTCGAAAGTAGTTTAACTACCTTTCGTCTTGGCTTGCTGACAATCCATTTTTCGGGGTAAATAAACCGCGCTTTGACCAGCTGAGTCAGATTTCGCATGTACAGCTGAGTTACCAACCCTTGGGAACAAGTAGGGCCAGGGTTTCAACCCGCATTATGCAAACGCCAAACGCCACAGAGCTTGGCCAGTCCGTAGGGTAGTTGGTGCCATGTGTGCCACCCCACACGTACAAACCTGGCAGGGTATGGGGAAGCCATGGATCATTCAGGTCGATGACGTGCCCATGTTTTCATGGTGATTTTGACCGTGCTCATCCTTCTGAAACTGGCACATTTCTTAGAAAGACGTGGGATTCGTTCAGCAAATTGGCCACTGTCATTGGGTTGATTGAATGGAAAACTTGTAGGAATCAGGATCTGAAGCATTGAACATGGTGCAACCAAGATTATCACCACTAATTATCTGAGAAGTATGGGGGTCTTGTAAATGATCCTTTCAACCAATATCAGGGCTTCTTTACTGGGGTCCCAAATGTGGATGTCGCCAGTAGGGAAGAGTCATTCGACAAGTCTGGCTGTGTCTGAAAATGGGGGATTGACCCCCGGTCAATGCAACATCAATCAATAGGGAAAATGATGATACCCTCTGGTAAACTAACGTAACTATGGAAAATCACCATTTTTAATGGGAAAATCAACTATAAATGGTGATTTTCCATAGTTATGTTAGTTTACCAGAGGGTAAGCCACAGGATTTTACAACAAACCCAAAGTGTCTCAAAGCACCAACCCCCAGGACATCTGACAAAACAACAGAGGTGTTTTGTGTTTGCCCAGCTATCCTTGGGAACCAGAATGATGCAGATATGACTCGAATCTCAGTGATCCAAGATGGTGATCCAAATAGACTGAGTCACTGTCAGCATGATCCAGCCACATTCCATGGCCCACTTTGGGGAGTGGTTCCTCAACCCAATATTAATGTCAACGGAATGACGGAAGGTCACAGGCGGGCAGCTGCATATTTTCGTTTCAAAGGGTCACTGGAAAATGATGCCGGCACGCCGCTGTTCTTATTCAGTGATCACTCTGAGACTGGGCGATAACGCTCCGTGGGCAGAGGTGCGGGGGGCCGAAGACCGGACTTGGAGCCTTTTTGAAGATGTGCTTGGTTTTAACTGGCATTTTCGTACATGGTACAGCAGGGCTACGTTTTCTCACAGTACCGGTAGTTTTGGCTCAGGCCAGTGCACCCCTATCTCATCCCGTATTGTAGCGGTTGATCAATAGGCATCCTGTTGATGATCGTTTATGTCACAATCATCCGATAATCGTCCCCTTTTAGCCAGGTAGATTAACAACCATCCTTTATCCAGCATACATGCCCATTCATTAGCGTGTTTTCTATGTATCTATGTATCTATGTACCTATGCATCGATGTATCCATGTATCTATGTATGTTTTTTGTATCAATGTGTCGAATGCCTGTATCCATCTACCTACCTACCTACCTACCTATCTACCTATCTGCCTATTTGCCTATCTACCTATCTACCTACCTATCTACCTACCTATCTATCTATCTACCTATCTACCTATCTACCTATCTACCTATCTATCGATCTATCCGTCTATCGCTCTATCGATCTATCTATCTATCTATCTATCCATCTATCTGTCCATCTATCTGTCTATCTATCTGTCTATATGTTTTCTGTCTGTCTATCTGTCTATCTATCTGTCTATCTATCTATCTATCTATCTATCTATCTGTCCATCTATCTGTCTATCTATCTGTCCATCTATCTGTCTATCTATCTGTCTATCTGCTTTCTATCTGTCTATCTGTCTATCTGTCTATCTGTCTATCTATCTGTCTATCTATCTATCTATCTGTCTGTCTATGTGTTTATCTATCTGTCTATCTGTTTATCTATCTGTCTATCTCTCCGTCTATCTATGTATCTTTGTATGTATTTATATATGTATATAATATATACATGATTGCATGATGATCAAATCCCGAATTCGCTGGCTGAATCGCTATAAAGCTACCAGGATACCTTGAACGGCTCACTCTTTCCACACCTCGTCCTCGGAGGTTTGTGTGAGACACCAAATCCCGGAAGGAAACTGCGCCCAACTGGCGCCAGTGCGCAGAAGAGCTTCACCACGTCGCGTCGCTTACCATGCGAGCAGAACGACTGCGGGCTGAGTTCATCCCACTGAAATGGCATATCCACAATGCAAACCATACATTGCTCACATACATGAAGAATATGTTTGGACCCATATCACTACCATACACTATATTATAAATATATATATATATACAGCACATATTATATATATACTTACAATTTCTTATATGATTTTACATTATGTATGCATGTCGACACTTCTGTTTCTGGATGACACATTCATGTCACCACATATTTCACTGTTCTCATGAGCTAACTTCAGCGATGAAACCCGAGCGCCTGCAGGTGGTCACATGGCCTTGCGCCAGTTGCGGCAGCTGATGAATCTGATGGATCTGATGCCTCAATTCTCAATACATTGATGACTGGTTGGTGGTATACCTACCCCTCTGAAAAATGATGGACTTCGTCAATGGAAAGGATGACATCCCATATATATATATATTATATATATTATGGAAAATAAAAAAAAATGCTTGAAACATTTTGAAACCACCGACCAGCTATACATTTATGATCATTGATGAACCATGGGACTTTGAGATTCGGCTATGGCTCCACCGAGGGGTGGAAAGATCCGGCTGAAGTTTGTACCCATACCCGGCTGAAAAGACCTGAAACAAAGCAATTTAAGGGCCTGGGGTTGATACCCCCTTCCTACTTGGCGTATATTCTTATCAAACCCTAAGATGTTCGAATATCTGATTCATAGGGTCCCCATGGTCCCCCACAAAAATGATGGTTTATCAGCATATGTCCCATTAAAGTGGCTATTTCATGCTCAGACAAAGCCATCCCCCCAGGTGCCTTTCTTCCTTTGATCAGACCACCTGGGCCACGGCTTTCACCGGGGATAAAAAAGCCACGATGGCACTGGTTTTAGTCCAATGATTTACCATGAACCGATTATTCCAATGGTGATGTTCCACTCAAAAAAAAACAGAAGGGATTTACCCCAGCCTGGGCTTTGCCAAGTTGCAATGAACCAGGATTTACCAAGTGAAAGTCCTAAAAATTAAGCGTAGATGTGAAACTCTTCCACTGTTGCTCATTGATGCAAAACTATATCCATTCATCGCATTCATCGAGCTACATCTTCAGTGTGTTTTATCTGGCGATATCTAGCTATATTGTATTTAGCAGCATATGTTGGTGTATTTGGCTATAGAACTCTATATATATATATATATATGACAGTATATATATATATACACCAACTGTTGAATATGTATATATATATGTATATATATATATACAGATATGTATTTGGCATATATTTGCATATATTCTATTCAAACTGACATTGCTTCTTCAACTCTTGAAACCTCCTGCGGTGCTGGTTTCAACCGAGGCGGATCATCTTTGAAAGGATGTCCATCATGCGCAGAGACTGTACTCATGATGATCATATTTCATATATTATTGTTAGAGGAACATATATATTGAATTATCATTATATACTAATTATCATTATATACTATTATAATCAGATTGTATCATATATATATTATATATATATATATTATATACATATATATATATATATGTATATATGTATATATATATATTGGTATGTAATTTCTCATTGTTTCCCAAAAACTAATACGATGGAGAAGAATCTCCCAAAGATTCCCACCTTAACCAATGGATCTGTAGCTGTGGGGATCCCCCACATCCTTTGACATGCTCAAATCCTTGCGTAGGGCGTACGGCTTGCGTTTTTTAAACGTTCTAAAACAATAAACCCTAAAACCCTGAAACCCTAAAACCCTAAATCCTGAAACCTGCGTACAGCGAGTATTTTTGTTGATCCTCTTGTATATGATATTGTCTGGGTGTGTTATTTGGACAAACAATCCATAAATCAAAACAGGCACAGAAATTACGATTTATGGACAATATATGTTAATATCATGTCGGCTAGCAGGCATGGTTTCCGCATGATTTCTCCTACAAGAGGCGCTGATGACGATTCGCATTGACCAATCTATGTCTATCACGCACTGCTTCGCCAGGTCCATGTCACATGTCTGAGGAACACCGAATACTTCTCCTCTCTGATTATCTTTGAATATGCTTGTACGCACTCCCAAGCACTTTTGCTCAAGGTGACATATTGAATATGTAATGTACATATATATATAACAATATATACCTATATTATATGCATATATATTACATATAATATATTACGTGTGTATATATAATAATAATAACAATAATAATAACAACAATAATAATAGTAGTAATAATTATAATAATACTAATAATAATAAGTAATAATAATAATACCAATAATAATACTAATTATAATAATACTCATAATAATAACAATACTACTACTAATAATAATAACAATGTGTATATATTACATGTATAATTATATAAATTGTATATATGTAGCATTCAACGTAATCCCAATCGGTCCCAGCTGGCTTTTGCCCAGTGGCGAGGCTGGTTTCCTCTTCCACTTCTGGACATACCTGCGCCGGGTCACCACCAGGAACCACGGTAACTGAGTAGTAACGCTAGTTTGTAAGTCCCCTGTGGGCTATACCATCTATAAATGGGCGAAAACAAACCTAGAGTTATTAACCACATATACGATTCGGGGGATCCTCCAAGTAGAGCTAAGCTTGGATGGCCAAGTGTAAGCGTATTTTTTCTGCCCAGATGGGATTCCAGTTACCACTGCCGCCTGCGAGGTTTGAAAATTGTTGTCAAGGTTTGTTCGCTAATACGTTGTCTATTCTTCAGTTCGCACTTTTTATAATCCATTTTGCGTTCAAACTTTCAGTGTTCCTTTTTGGTCCTATCAAGTTTTGAAGGGCAAATCATGCTAGATCCCTAGTTGCAATGCATCAATATAGTGTTTTACAACCGGAAAGCAGGGTTTTTACAAGTTTTCACCCCAAAATCAGAAGGTAATCCCTGCAGATCTCCCCTGTTTTCCCCAGTTTTTTCCCAAGTTTCAGCCATTTCTTTTCCAGCCGCCCTGGCCTGGAAGGAGCTGGACCAAGCATCTGTCAGCTTTTCCAAGGCCATGCCCGTCACATTGGTGGAGTTGTGCCTCAGCAGCAGGTGGCTGATTTGAGAGGCCAGTGTCCTCAGCGCCCATAACATATATATATATATATATATATTGTGTATATACGTTTATATAGATGATATGTATATTACTATAGCTATGTGTATGTATGTATGTATGTATGTATGTATGTATGTATGTATGTATGTATGTATGTATGTATGTATGTATATATATATATATATCCATCTCTCGGCATGTTTTTTTCAGAATGAAATGGCCATAAATGTGTGTCCGATAGCCCATTTTGAGCCAAATGGATATCAATTCGTTGCTTCAATCCACATCTTGACTGGTGAAATCCATTCCTTCAATGACTTTTCATAGCTTAAATCTACATTTTCACTGGTGAAATCAGTGAAACCCCATTCTTTTTCAGGTTTTCCATCCAGAAAGCCGCTGCCAGGTGCCCCACCATGTGCGCCATGTGCGCCAAGGCACGACTGTGGTCCCAGCACCGTGGTGAAGAAGCAACCGACCCAACAAGGTGAGGATTGGTTCCTTGTTCCACAGGCCTCAAAGCCTCGTTGCTGCAGCGATTTTTTGCGCGCTATGTGAAAAAAAATGAAAGCTGTAAAAAGACGGAAATATATAGATGACTAAAAATTATAGATAGAAACATCCTGAACAATAAGAAATATTATTGTATAATCCAAACATCATGCAATTATAGTCCCATTTCTATTAGGATTCCGGAAAACTATCTAATTGAAATCATGACTTTGCTTTATCTATGTAATATCATCTCTGATCATTTGTCCAAGAGAAATAATATTTTGATTTGGGTATTACATATGTATCTTTTCGGGGGCTATACAATATATACGTGTGTGATATATGTATATATGATATATATATATATGATATATATATATATATATATATATGATATATATATATATGATATATATATATATATGATATATACATATATATATGTATCATAAATATAATATATATATATATATCATATAACACATATATATATATATATATATCCTATGTACATATATGTATATATGTATCCTATATATATATTTATCATATATATACATAGTGTATATATATATGTATATGTATATCATATCATATACATATATATATATATATCATGTCATATCGTATATATCATGTACATATCATATTATATATATACATATCATATATGTATATATATATATATATGTATATATATATATGTGTGCGTTTATATGTATATATACATATGTATATATGTATATATACATATATGTACACATATATCATATATATATATATGTATTATGGAGATGTAAACACTCATGCAGACACATAATATGGAGATCATATCAGGATATCACCAGGATGTTGCAAGTAAGTATATAACACAATGCAACATGTTTAGCCGCTACAGGGAACCACAGGCCACGAGATCACCGCAAGATATGCCCGTGGTAATGGGGATCACTCTTAAGGAGACCACGTCACTGTTAAAGGTCGGTCAATGAGTAATTCACATCAAATGTCCATTGATTGACTAAGGATATTCCATTGAAGCCATTTGGTCAGTTCAGTCTGTCCATTAATCCCGAATGAACTGCCCAAAATCTACGTTTCGCGAGACGCAGAAGTCATGGTCCAATCTGGCCAATTGGGGAAAGAAATTTGGATGGTAATAAGTCCTTGCAAAAGTTTGTGCTACATATACATTATATGTAGTATCTATATGTGTATATATATATATATACATATCATGATTATATGTACTATACTGTTAAAAAGATAGTACGTAGTAGCAAAAAATAATATATATATATAATATAATATAAATATACATATATGTTATAATTAGTTGTAATGTCACATGTATGTGTATATATATATATTAATATATGCTTGATTTTGGAGAATTGTGCATTGCAATGTTTGATTTTGAGAAGGATTACCTAAGGGTACAACGAGTATCCCAAGTTCGGGATGCCTAAGGTATGTTAAACCTTGGGGGCTACTCACAAGTTGCTTAATTCACCAAAAATAAAGACTCTTGGCGGCACAGGATGTGATTGAAGCCACATATTTCTAGGCACTTGGAGTGACTTCTATACACAATATTCTAGGCCCAAACCAGCTGCACTTCTAGGACGATTCAAGATTCAACACATGAGCTGCATCGAAAACCATATCATCCCTGTGTAACAGTTTGTCGAAAGGAATTTCCATCCTGGTTTATAAAATATAGTCCCAAATAAACCATAGTATAAAATGGTATAACTTCATATAATAAGCACTCAACCAACCATCATTTTTCAATCACATCCCCATGTTTGGCGGTAAAACTCACTTCTGATGATTAAATCCCCTAGCCCTAGGTTCGGTCTCTATACTGTTCCAATCAACCACCAACCATCATTTCCTGTATATAGTTAGATTCGGATCTTGCAGGCTTGTACAACCACTTGTTTAGCAGTTATATATCCCTTCAGCCGGAGTCAACCACTAGTCCAAGCGACACTCAGCACCTTCCTCTTCCACGGTGTCCCTCAAACGCGTCTTGACGCACTCCTCTTGGATGGTTTTGGACGACAGCACCTGGCCCATGTGGGTCTGAAAATGAGGGATGTACCCCCAAAAATGGATTTAATCATCAACATGGCTGGGAAAATGGGCGAATTGTATGAAATTGTTGGAAATTCAGTGACCATTGTGCGGGGATATGTAACCAACTATATAATAATGGAACAAGGGATTTACCACTCATAAATGGCAATTTTCAGAGGGAAAATGATCTTCCAAAACACCCATTGTACAACTGCCCCAGTTCAGTGGAAGTGGCGCCATGGCGCCATGGGTCACGAGGTTCCTCCTCAAAGGTGGGTGATGGAGGATCGACAACAAACGCCCCATGGATTCCTTGTCACTATTGGTTCTCCCCCACCTTTTGGCACAAATCCAAATGTTTGCTATCCATGCCTAAATGGTTTGTATAACATGATATGTATATATATATATATACATGTATACGTTACCCATCATACACAATCAATATGTTTATATCACATGTCATTATATATATATAATATTACATAATTATACCATAGTTTGGTGATGAAATATCTCCCTTTTGGACAAAGAAATGCGGCACCTTCCAACTACAAAAGGCATCTGGCGACTCATCATCGCAGTAGCCTTCACCTCGGTGGAGGTCGTGGCCAACTCACCAAGGTTTTCCCACCCGTATCACCTTGGGCCATAGACGATGTGAGAAAAGCATATAAAAAGCCAGATCTTTCCCAGACATTTCGTTTAGGGAACAAAAATACCAATCCCATCCAATCCCATAGTTGTCCCATAGTTTAAGCATGTTTTTCCCCATATAATCCCATAGTCTCAACATGTTGTTCGCCATGTTTAAAAGGGGCCATCTCCTCGAGGTTTTTCTCCCTTGTTTCACACGGACCGAGTACTGAGTAAGCGACGGAAAGTGGAGAACCAAAGTCCTGGTGCTTGGAGAGTCTGGTGTGGTGTGTTCTACCTACCGATCTAATCCAATCAAATAGAATCTGATCTAATCTAACCCAATCTAATCGAATCTATCCTATCTCTAGTCTAATCTAAGCCAAGCTAAGCAAAGCAAAGCAATCTAAGCAAGCTATTCTAAGCTAAGCTATTTATCAAATCAGTCTATCAATTTACGAAATCATAAATCGCTTTCAATCTATCTAGGTATCTGTTTATTTCTTTCCTATCTTATTGGATATTCTCCATCCATCTATTCATCCATCAGTCCCTCCGTTCATCAATCCATCCATCTACAACATATAGTATAGAAAGTGTATAATGTATATATACAAATATTTATAATATATATATATATATCGCATGTAAAATGTGTAAAGTATCTGTAACCTGTACAGCTGTAGATGTTGTATAACATATTATGTGTACATATGTATATATATATATATATATGTATATCACAGTGATGTAAACAATGTGCATCCGCACCTGCCTCACAATCCACACCAGTCTTGCCGACCAAGGTACTCCTGCTTGTTGGAACTTGGTTATTTAAATGGGTTTCTCTGAAAATACCCGGTACCCCCCCCCCAAAAAAAAAAAAGATGCTTCAACACCTCATGTTTCCCATTCATGGCAAGGTCCCACATTTTTGGACAACCAAAATCCGTCAAACGTAAGTAAACCCACGTTTGTGATGGTAAAATGCCCATAAAATGGCTGTGAAAATCATGTGAAATCCCCCCATGTTCAGTTAAACCCCCATCATAATATGACCGTTTCCCCACCTTAGGACCTTGTTGGCTCCAGACCCCGGCTGTCCTTTCGTCTTTCTCCCAAGGTTCATGTGCCAACAGTCGTAGTTCTTAGAGTCGGAGGTGCACAAGGGGAAGCCAATGCCAGGACAGTAGCTCTTAGCATCTGCCTCACCGTTTGCGGAAACGAGTCCCGCTGAAGGAAATATGACGTCCTAAAGTAGGAAAACAGAGGGGCCTGTTTGGGAAGAACCCTGTTAGTTTGTAAATAACATAACAGCAATGTACATATTCATGTATAATATTTCTATATATATATATGTCCTCCATCCAATATGATTGATTCTCACCTAGTTACTGCTGGGAAGAAGCCTCTAATCAACCAATGGGAAGAGGATACGGATATGATGATGAGGTCGCTGCCAATTTTATTCAGGGGGACAGAGGGTGTGTGAATGTATAGATCTATGTACGGAGATGTATGATGTCTATATGTCTCGTGTCAATAATACGTCATGGAAATGATTGTATATCATGTCATATCTATACATAATGTGTATATACTTAAGATATATTATAAAGATATATAAAGTGTGTACGTGTGTGTGTGTGTGTGTTTGATACACATATAGTTTCAGTTTATGAAGAACTGCGGGTCCAAATCCAAAAGTGTCCATAGTCGATGCTGGGAGTTGGACCGAAAGTATGAGGACCTGTGTAAGATCAATTTCCTACAACATCCTACACCCACAACTGTATCATCTGTATCTCTGCATTTCTTTATTCGAATCCAAATATATCGAAATCACATGGACGTCATTTACAGGACTGTGCTTACTTCCAAATCGCTTGGAGTTTCGATTCAGGACCACACTTTGAGCCAACATATCCGACAATCATCAAAAATCCATATTCCGCTTTGAATTACCTTGCGAAGCAACAAAATCGGTGCTCAACTTTGTGCCCTTACTTTCTCACCGTTCGAACCAAAGAACGCTGCAAGTGCTCTTGTTGAGGATGTGTTGATGCCGAGCTAGGCATAAATTACACCACTTGCTGTAGCGCACGTGTCCACAGACCTCCTGCAAGTCGCTCCCTAAAGTTGGTGGTTGGTTGAGCCAAAGAATCTGATCCACCAGGGCCACTTTTGTTCTGTAGACTGTTGCACCCCCTCAACTATTACTAGAACTAGAACCTAGCCATAATTGATCATAATTGTAACATATTATTCATATTATGACTATAGTCGTACCTTATTTGGGGAAATCCCAGAACACCACAGAGACAACACGCACTTGGAACTGATTGGATCACCACTTTCGACCATTCCGCGCTGCTCCTCCAGCGTATCTTTACACTCCTCGGTCACATCGTGAACAAACTCATGGACCACGGTCTCCATTCCTACCTCGGCCGGGTGACTTTCGCCAGGCCCCTGTGGACAACTCCCTCTCTGGTAAGGAGACCCTCAACCATGGCAGTGGGAAGAACAACTAGACGACGGTTGGCCCGAGAGCGAAAAAAATGTTTTTCAAGCAGCTCTGAGGATGGTAGTCGTAAAAGATAGTCGGTGAATAGTGTGAAAGATATGGTGTGAAAAAAGTAAGATTGATCAAGAAGAGAATATTTGGTAAAGGGCATCAGATGACATGTGTCTTGCAACCACAGAGAGAAAGAGGGGGCAGAGATAAAGAGAGAGAGAGAGAGAGAAAGAGAGAGAGAGAGAGAAAGAGAAAGCAAGAGAGAGAGAGAGAGAATGAAAGGGGGGGGTAGAAAGAAAACATGAAGAAATGTAATGTGAGCAACAAAAGTGCACAGGAGGCTCAGTGCCATGAGTCTGCGAATGACATGTGCTATCTCATTTTATTATGGTAATTCCCACACACATTGCGGAAAAAGGCGCGGCACCATCATTCCGTGAACGCGAAGAAACGCGACGCTTTTATACAGAGACACTTTTACACACAGAATCTTTTACACATAAACACTTTTACACACAGACGCTTTCACACAGAGACGTTTTTCATGCACACACACACAGACGCATTTCCACACAGAGACTTTTACACGAAAACACTTTAACACACAGACGCTTTTATACACAGACTCTTTTACACACACACGCTTTTACATGCAGATGCCTTTTTACAGACGCACACACACTTTCACACACAAACGCTTTTACACACAGACGCTTTTGCACACAGACACAGACGCTTTTCCACACGGACCCTTTTACACACAGACGCTTTTACACACAAACACTTTTACACACAGAAGCTTTTACACACGGACGCTTTTACACGCAAACACTTTTACATACAGGCGCTTTTACACACAGACGCTTTTACACTCAGACACTTTTACACACAGACGCTTTTCCACACAGACCCTTTTACACACAGACGCTTTTACACACAAACACGTTTACACACAGACGCTTCCACAGAGACTTTTACACAGAGACGCTCACAAAGCGCGGCACCACTGGGTGACCTCAGTTGCAAACAAAGGTGCGCAAACATAGTTGCAATGGAAATGCTAAAAAAATCGCAAAAGTGCACAAGACCAGGCTCAGTACCATGATCAACGCACAATCCAATGCAAGGCATCCGCTCTTTGAGATACAAAATAAGTTCGGCACCATGATGCCGTGGATGACCTCAGTTGCCAACACAGGTGGGCAAACAAAGGCTCCGTACCATGGCATCCAAGAGAATCTAGAAGTCCGTGCAAGAATGCTGTGAATGATTCCACAATAGCAAGTTCGATATCATGATGGCAAGGATGACACCTGTTTCACTGCATTTCTCCGATGTCCCTACAGGATGGAAAAAAAAAACTTTACAGACAAACAACAGTTGGCTACTGGTTTTGCATGTTCGTCACGAACAGTCTCTCCAGACGAACACTGCTACAGATTAATTTGTGCCAGTTGCACTCAGTTCCATGTGTCACTCGGTATGCAAGCCTTCCAGCTCCCACAAGCTGCTTCCAGCTCCCACAAGCTGCTTCCAAGGCGAAGTTCTTCCAATTTGGCAGCCGATGCTTCGTCCACCTACAGCATCCGACACACCGCCACCACAAAACAACCATCATCCTACAAATTTGTCCCGCTGCTCATGCATATCAATGAAAACAAAACACATAGATCCACTACATCACAAACGAACATTGGCATGATCACTATGCAAGTCTCGAGATCTCACGGACAGCCCCCACAGAGACCTCAAGAGATGCAACACATGTTGAAGATATTTGTTTGTCGATCCCTGGTATTTCACAAACATGATGCCATGTCTGACATATGTCATTTCATTTTCTTCTGGAAATTTTCCCATAAATGGGACAAAACAGCTCGGTACCATGATGCCGTGTATGACACATGATAATTCATTTTATTATGCAAAATTCCACGCAAATGGCACAAAAAAGCTCGGTACCATGATGGTGTGTATAACATACGTCATTTCGTGTTATTTTGGAAGTAACACATCATCTTGCATCGTCTTGCACAACCTTCAATCATATTGCTTTGTCTTGCATCATCTTGCATCATCTCGCATCATCTTGCATCCTCTTGCATCATATTGCATCATCTTGCATCGCCTTGCATCGCCTTGCATCGTCTTGCATGGTCTTACATCATCTTGCATCGTCTTGCATTGTCTTGCAGCGTCTTGCATCATCTTGCATTGCCTCACATTCTCTTACACCATCTTGCAGCATCTTGCATTGTCTTGCATTATCACCATCTGGCGAAGTTCTTCCAATTTGACAGCCGATGCCTCCTCCACCCACGGCATCCGACACACTGCCACCACAAAACAACAATCATCCTACAACATTGCACCATGTGACAAACATGCAACTTTCGTCACAATCCTAGTCTGCCCCACCGGACCTGCGTTGGAGGTGCCAAGACATCCAGCAATCGAGCGCGCAGCTCTTCAACCGCAAACCACTTCTTGTCCGGTCCACGGCCAACATTCCGAGCCTGTGCCATTTTGCGAAGCTCCATTACAGAAATTTTTGCCAGGGCATCCTGTAGCCATTCACGACCCCTGGTCACAGCACTGCTACGCAGCTCCTGCAACCGAAGTTCCACGGCATCGGACGACGCGGATGACGCGGTCGCATGCTCCATTCGCACAGACATTCCCTTCAGCAAACGAAACAGCGACCACAAAACGTCCACAAACTTCACGGGTGCGTGACTTCAACCAAACATTTTGCATTCAGAAATTCCGAGACATGCATATTTGTTCGCTTGCTTTCAAAACAATGCCATGACATGCTTGATTTCAAAACAAAATTGAACGGTACAAAATTGAACGGTACAATGATTCCAATATCATTTTTTGTCCACTGCTCATGCATTTCAATGAAAACATCACATATTTTTTTTTTGTGCTATACATCACATAGATCCACTGCATCGTAAACAAACACTGACATTGTCACAATGCAATTCTCGAGATCTCACAGACAGCCCCTACAGAAACCTCGAGAAGTGCAAGATATGTTACAGATACCTGTTGGCCAATCGTCACTTGTTTCTCGAACATTCAGCGTACATATAAGAATATAGATGTTCACTCCGTGCACAATGCATCTTGTCTCTACGTTCACCTCTGAGCCCAGGAAAGAGATAAAGAGGTAAACTATGCTTGTCGCTGCAAAGTTGCACAATCCACTGCAAAGCATTTGTTCTCTGACTTCCAAACTGAGAACACCACTCATGAGTTTGACATGGCAAAGAACCACTGTCGCAGAGACCTGCAAACTGAAGGCTGAACGCATCAACAAAAAACTAGTCTAACAAAGCTTGGTAACAAAAAACTCAGCAGCTGGGCAACACCATCTTGCATCATCTCGCAATGCCTCTGCATCCGAAGTTCCACGGCATCGGACGACGCGGATGACGCGGTCGCATGCTCCATTCGCACAGACATTCCCCTCAGCAAACATTCCCTTCAGCAAATGAAACAGCGACCACAAAACGTCCACAAACGTCACGGGTGCGTGACTTCAAACAAACATTTTGCATTCAGAAATTCCGAGACATGCATATTTGTTCGCTTGCTTTCAAAACAATGCCATGACATGCTTGATTTCGAAACAAAATTGAACGGTACAAAATTGAACGGTACAATGATTCCCGTATCATTTTTTTGTCCACTGCCCATGCATTTCAATGAAAACATCACATATATTTTTTTCGTGCTATACATCACATAGATCCACTGCATCGTAAACAAACACTGACATTGTCACAATGCAATTCTCGAGATCTCACAGACAGCCCCTACAGAAACCTCGAGAAGTGCAAGAAATGTTAAAGATACATGTTGGCCAATCGTCACTTGTTTCTCGAACATTCAGCGTACATATAAGAATATAGATGTTCACTCCGTGCACAATGCATCTTGTCTCTACGTTCACGTCTGAGCCCAGGAAAGAGATAAAGAGGTAAACTATGCTTGTCGCTGCAGAGTTGCACAATCCACTGCAAAGCATTTGTTCTCTGACTTCCAAACTGAGACCACCACTCATGAGTTTGACATGGCAAGGAACCACTGTCGCAGAGACCTGCAAACTGAACGCTGAACGCATCAACAAAAAACTAGTTTAACAAAGCTCGGTAACAAAAAACGCAGCAGCTCGGCAACACCATCTTGCATCATCTCGCAATGCCTCTGCATCCGAATTTCCACAGCATTGGACGACGCGGATGACGCGGTCCCATGCTCCATTCGCACAGACGTTCCCGTCAGCAAATGAAACAGCGACCACAAAACGTCCACAAACGTCACGGGTGCGTGACTTCAAACAAACATTTTGCATTCAGAAATTCCGAGACATGCATATCTATTCCCTTGATTTCAAAACAATGCCATGACATGCTTGATTTCAAAACAAAAGTGAACGGTGCAATATTGAACGGTACAATGATTCCCGTAGTATTTTTTTGTCCACTGCTCATGCATTTCAATGAAAACATCACATATATATTTTTTTCGTGCTATACATTACATAGATCCACTGCATCGTAAACAAACACTGACATTGTCACAATGCAATTCTCGAGATCTCACGGACAGCCCCTACAGAAACCTCGAGAAGTGCAAGAAATGTTACAGATACCCGTTTGCCAATCGTCACTTGTTTCACGAACATTCAGCGTACATATAAGAATATGGATGTTCACTCTGTGCACAATGCATCTTGTCTCTACGTCCACGTCTGAGCCCAGGAAAGAGGTACTTGGTAACTTCTACAACTTCATGCACTAACCTGCTACACACTCGGACAATTCAATGCAAAGAATGTGTTGTTCGAAGCCTGAGACCACGACTCCTGCGTTTGACAAGCAAAAATCATTGTCGCATAGACATGCAAACTGAACAGTGAAGCTCACTATGAACGTATCAATTCCCACACAGATTACCACACCAAACGAACCAAGCTCCGCACGTCCTAGCACGGATACACTAGCAAGCATTGTCACCCTCAATCTCTAACAGTTCCATGTCGTGCGGTTAAAGTACACACAAAATCTTTTACACACAAACGCTTTTACACATGGTGCTTTTACACAAACACACTTTGACACACAGACGCTTTGACACACAAAAGCCTTTACACACAAACGCTTTTACACACAGACGCTTTTACACACAGACGCTTGTACATACAGACGCTTTTACACACAAAAGCTTTTACACACAGACGGTTTTACACACAGACGCTTCTACACGCAGATGCGTTTTACACACGCACACACGCTTTCACACACAAACGCTTTTACACGCTTTCACACAAACGCTTTTACACACAGACGCGTTGACACACGAACGCTTTTACACACAGACGCTTTTGCACGCAGATGCTTTTTACACACGCACAGACGCTTTCACACACAAACGCTTTTACACACAGACGCTTTTACACACAGACACTTGTACAGAAACGAAAGCGTCCATCGCAATTTTTCCTCAGTTTTTGACGTCCAACGTCCATTTCGTGCGAAAGGGTTGCAGAGTGACACCTTTTTTCGCAATTTTTCCACAGTTTTTGACGTTCAACGTCCATTTCGTGCGAAAGGATTGCCCGGGGACACCTTTTTTCGCAATTTTTCCTCAGTTTTTGACGTCCAACGTCCATTTCGTGCGAAAGGGTTGCAGAGTGACACCTTTTTTCGCAATTTTTCCACAGTTTTTGACGTTCAACGTCCATTTCGTGCGAAAGGATTGCCCGGGGACACCTTTTTTCGCAATTTTTTCTCAGTTTTTGACGTCCAACGTCCATTTC